CAGCAGGGCTGCCTGAGCAAACGCCTCTGCTCGTGTCCCCTCTGTCCCCCTCTGACAGGGACCCAGGGTTTTCCTGGGGAGCTCTGGCTTCTGTGACAAGGACAGGGCTGGCTGGTGGCAGTGTCCCCTCTGTCCCCCTCTGTGAGAATCACAGACAGACACACAGGATTTTCTCTGAGAAAGCTCAGAGGAAGAATTAAAGTGATTATTCTCTCAATCTCTATGCCATTGTTTCTATAAGAACTGTGGATTTGTAATAATAAAGTGTTTTTAAAGTGTCCCTGATACCTCTTCAGTGACACCCTTCTGTGACAAGGACAGGGCTGGCTGGTGGCAGTGTCCCCTCTGTCCCCCTCTGACAGAGACTCAGGATTTTCTCTGAGAAAGCTCAGAGAAAGAATTAAAACAATTATTCTCTCAATCTCTGCACCTGGCAGGCAAAGAAGTCAAAGAAGTTGCAAAAAGCCAATCATGTAATAAGCATTTTTCACAATTCCCAAAGGCCAAGCAGGTCTTCAGTCCACCATTGTTTCTAGAAGAACATTATTTCCTAACATTATAGAATATATTATTATGTTATAATAATATGGAATATATTATTAGAATCCATGTCTAATATTCTTTTTCTTCTATAAGAACTGTGGATTTGTAATAATAAAGTGTTTTTAAAGTGTCCCTGATACCTCTTCAGTGACACCCTTCTGTGACAAGGACAGGGCTGGCTGGTGGCAGTGTCCCCTCTGTCCCCCTCTGACAGAGACTCAGGATTTTCTCTGAGAAAGCTCAGAGAAAGAATTAAAACAATTATTCTCTCAGTCTCTGCACCTGGCAGGCAAGGAAGTCAAAGAAGTTGCAAAAAGCCAATCATTTATATCATAAGATTTTTCACACTTCCCAAAGGCCAAGCAGGTCTTCAGTCCACCATTGTTTCTAGAATAACATTATTTCTAATAATATATAATATTATGTTATAATAATATAGAATATATTATTAGAATCTATTTCTAATATTCTTTTTCTTGCCTTGTGAAGATAAAGTTTCTGTATCACCTTTGGCTGTCCCTGATACCCCTTCAGTGACACCCCTGTGTGACAAGGACAGGGCTGGGTGGTGGCAGTGTCCCCTCTGTCCCCTGTGTGACAGGGACAGGGCTGGCTGGTGGCAGTGTCCCCTCTGTCCCCTGTGTGACAGGGACAGGGCTGGCTGGTGGCACAGAGCAGGGAGGATGTGGAAAAAGAACAATGAACCGAGCTCGGAGAACAGGAAACCATCTCTGAGCTCATCCCCACCCCAGGCTGAGGTTTCCTCTCTGAAAATGTCGAGCTCTCACCGAATTCTCCTTGCCCAAAAAGGCTGCAGGATTTATTTGCAATGATCCTGGTTTAACCACAAAAAAAAAAACCCCTCTCCCCAAAAAGCCCAAAGAAGCCAAAATGCTGTCAGCAGGAAGGTGAGAAACCCCCCGAGCACCTTCTGGGGTGGGAGAGGTTTTACAGCATTTCTGAGAGCCAGAGAGATTGAGAAGAGGATCTGTGTTTGGCCCTGAAAGGATTTTCTACCGAGGTTGTTGACATAGAAACCAGGAAAGTATAAGAGAAAAGAAGAAAGAAAGAGAAAATAAGAGAAAAAAAGAAAAAAGGAGAAAATAAGAGAAAGAAAGAAAGAAAGAAAGAAAGAAAGAAAGAAAGAAAGAAAGAAAGAAAGAAAGAAAGAGAAAATAAGAAAGAAGGAGAGAATAAGAGAAAATAAAAGAAAATAAGATAAAAAAAGAATAAGAGAAACCTGCAACTGCCCATTCCAATAAGCAATTCCAGTTTATCTTTTCTGGCCAGTGAGTAAAGTGTAAATTTATGAGTTTTGTAAGAATGTATAAAAAACTTCCACGCTTTCTATTTTATTCCATAAAAACGGGTTTGAAGCCTTCTGAAAATGGAGTGTGTTGCTTTGTGTGGTCTCTGTCTCAACTGTGACACCCTGAGAGCTCAGCAGAGGTGGAAAAAGAAATCCAGAGGCCTGGGGGTGGTGAAGAAAAATCAGTTTTTGCTTCCCAAAATACCCCAGAGCAGGTGGGACACGGGCAGGGGGTCAGGCAGGAGGGAATGGGGATGGAGGAAGGGAAGTGGAGCACAGGGAGGGACCAAAAATCCAAATTTTGGGAGTCCAAAATGTCCTGTGTGGAAATCCAGCCCTCAGGCACACAAATCCAGCCATGGGGAATATTTAAATCTCCTTTATGGGATGAGGGAAGCTGCCTGGACATGCCCCAAATGTGTCCTGGCATGTCCTGTCCACACACCCCCAAGTCCCCAGGGGGGATTTAAAGGTGACAAAAAAAGGAGGGGGATGGCAAAGCCCCCAAAATGGGGGTGGAGGAGCAAAGTTAGGGGGGATAAACTCCAGGAATTCCCTGGAGTGCTGAGGAATTCCCTGGAGTGTTGGGATCCAGGGTCCCCAGAGGATTTAAAGGTGACAAACAAAGGATGGGAGTGACAGAAGCCCCCAAAACGGGGGTGGAGGAGCAAAGTTAGGGGGGATAAACTCCAGGAATTCCCGGGAGTGTTGGGATCCAGAGTCCCCAAGGTGACAAACAAAGGAGGGGGAGGACAAAACCCCCAAAATGAGGGTGGAATAGCAGAGCTGGGGGGATGAACTCCAGGAATTCCCTGGAGTGCTGGGATCTTTATGGGATGAGGGAAGCTGCCTGGACATGCCCCAAATGTGTCCTGGCATGTCCTGTCCACACACCCCCAAGTCCCCAGGGGGGATTTAAAGGTGACAAAAAAAGGAGGGGGATGGCAAAGCCCCCAAAATGGGGGTGGAGGAGCAAAGTTAGGGGGGATAAACTCCAGGAATTCCCTGGAGAGCTGGGATCCAGGGTCCCCAAGGGGGATTTAAAGGTGACAAACAAAGGATAGGGATGGCAAAGCCCCCAGAATGAGGATGGAAGAGCAGAGCTAGGGGGATAAAAAACGGGGGTGGAGGAGCAAAGTTAGGGGGGATAAACTCCAGGAATTCCCGGGAGTGTTGGGATCCAGAGTCCCCAAGGTGACAAACAAAGGAGGGGGAGGACAAAACCCCCAAAATGAGGGTGGAATAGCAGAGCTGGGGGGATGAACTCCAGGAATTCCCTGGAGTGCTGGGATCCAGAGACCCCAAGGTGACAAACAAAGGATGGGAGTGACAGAAGCCCCCAAAACGGGGGTGGAAGAGCAGAGCTGTGGGGATAAACTCCAGGAATTCCCAGGGATGCTGCAGGACCCGGCGCAGCCCCAGGGCTGCTCTGCTGTCCCTGTCCCAGTTTCACACGGTTCCCTCCTTGCTCAAGCCCGTCTTGAAAGGCCCAAATCTAAGTCTAGGCTGGGCTTTAAGCCCTGCCTTGTTGTTTACCCTGCCTGCCCGGCCCGTTCCTGGGGTCACACCCGGGTTACCAATTACAGCTGGGATTAAACATCTTAAACCCGGCTTACCCCTGGGCTTTTTTCCCCTTAAATTCCCACTGATTGTGCTTAACTGGTGTCCCCAACCAGGTGGCTGCTGCCACTGCCAGCACGGTGTCTGTCCCTCCTCCGCCACAGCCACTTAATGAGATTTAAACCAGGCCAATAATCCATTATTTTACACTTCTGGACCCTTCCCAGCGATTTTTCCCCCCCCCCCCAAACTTAAAGAAAAGCAGCTCTTGGCTGCTCAAATGGACCAGGGTAACCTTCAAATCCTTCCCAAAGCTTGGGGTGGCTGCAGGGGTGGCCAGGGGGAGGTGACAGCTGACTCAGCAAGTGGGACACGGCTGATGAGCAGGATTTGATGTTAATTCTTAATTCTGGGGCTGTTTTCCTGCGGGGCTCAGGGGGTGCAGGGTCCCAGCTGGCTCTGCTGGGATTCCAGGACAGCTTGGAGTTGGGGTTTTGTGCCTCACGCCCTGTAAACTGCAGACTTCAGGGTGTCGTCACCCTAAAAAAAAACAAACCAAAAAAAAAAGCCACAATGAGTCCAGCGTGGGAACTGCTGCCTGTTGGGTGAACATAAAACACCCCGAGCTGCTGACTTGCAAAGCCTCAGTCCCTGTGAGCAGCTCGGGGTTTAACCCTTGGTTGAATGCCAAATGTTCTCCCTTTTTTTTTTTTTTTAATATTTATTTATTTAAATATTTTTTATTTTTATTTTATTGTAAAATTTCCGGCTCGACTGGTTTGGAGGCTCATTTGGATACCCAGGAGGGTTTGGGAGCTGATCTGAACTCCTGGTTCCTGTCAGACCAGTTCCAGCCCCAGCCTGGCCAATCCCTGAGCAGAAATTTATTGAGTTCGGCTTGTTGTTTTTTCTTTTCTTTTCTTTTTTTTTTTTAATTGAAATAAAAATGCTCTCAGCTAAATGCAGGGTGGAAAACCAACCCAGCCAGAGCAGCCTCAAACTCAGCTCTCTTTTTAAACCCAGTTTGATTTTCTGGTGGCTCCTTTGCTCTGGAACTCCTCAGAGCTCTTTGAGAGGCTGCACTGAGCCTCAAGCTCTGCCTTAAAAACCCCGGAGCCAGAAATTAGGGACACATAACCCGCTTAGAGAGCCTCGAGCCCCACAGGAAATCTCCTCTTGGAAGGGCTTAACGGGGCCAAGGGATTTGGGAGCACCAGCACGGAGGTGACCAGGAATAAATGGGAATTTGGGGAATGGTGCCACCACTTCCCCCACCCTGGGGGGACCAGAGGAACCTGCCCGGTGGGGTTGGCTCACCCTCATCATCATCAGTGCCTAATGAGCACAGTTAGCCCCTAATGGCTAATTAATAACCCTGGTTATTAGAGCTGTTCTGGGCTAGGCTGCAGCAGACCTCCTGCTCCAGCCCGGTGACTCAGGGCTGCAGGATTCCACCCCAATATTCCTCAGGCTGAGGGAAACCAGCCCTGCTGCCAGCTGGGATGGCCAAGCTCAGCTCAGTGGAATTAAATTATTTTTAAACTGGGTTTTTCTGCCTGTTTTTGCACGGGGGATGTTTCCCACCAGGATGGTTTTGCTGGATTCCCATTTTTCCAGCGTGGCTGCCCAGGTGTGTTCAGAGCTCTGGATGTTTATCCAGCCTCTTCCAGGGGCTCTGGAATATCCAACCCCCTCCCCCTGCTGTGTGCTGGGCTCTCCCAGGCCTCTTTCATCTCTGGTGCTGTCTTAAAAAAAAAAAACAAAAAAAAGACAAAAAAAAAGTCCTTAGACTTTAATCCTTGGGTTTATTTCAAAGCTTACAAAGGCAAATCTGGTTTGTGGCAAGAGACTTGCCTGATTTCTTCTGCTCCAAGGATGAATGGGGTGGCAGATGGGGAGGGGAGGATTTGGGGACCCCTCGGGAAACCTGACCCCACCCTGGGCACGAAATGGGGTCAGCGCAGAGCCCTGCTTGGGCAGCAGCTCTGAATTCCCCTTCCCCACAACTTCCAGAGCCATTTTCCTTCCCCCATTCCCGTTTTCTTTTCAATTCCCATTCCCAATTCCTCTTCCCAACTCCCATTCCCAGCTCCCGTTCCCAATTCCCGTTCCCAACTCCCGTTCCCAATTCTTGTTCCCAACTCCTGTTCCGAATTCCCGTTCCCAAATCCTGTTCCCAACTCCTGTTCCCAATTCCCATTCCCAATTCCTCTTCCCAACTCCCATTCCCAGCTCCCGTTCCCAATTCCCGTTCCCAACTCCCGTTCCAAATTCCTGTTCCAAATTCCCGTTCCCAACTCCCGTTGCAGGCTCTGCACAGCCCTGGGTGGGAAATCCCTTGTGCAGAGCAGGAATAAAACCAGCTGCAGGCTGCAAGCAAAAGGCCTCAAAAAATCCCATGACAGACCAGAATCCTGGGAAATATTGGGAATTTGAGACCTGGAGAAGGAGGTGCTGGAAAACCTCAGTGCCACCCCCACTTTTAGGGGTATGAGTAGGTGATGCAGCAAGTCCAGGATAATTTAAACCCCAGGAAAGGGTCAGCGAGTCCAGGATAATTTTCCAGAGGGACAGGACCCCGAGGAGCCCCAGAGAGGTGGGATTCCTCATCCCAGCTTCTGTTGAAAAGAAAATCTGAAATAAACTCCTGAATAAACTCCGTGAACAGTTTAACAAAATAACACCAAACTCTTCTGTTGTACATAGCAGTAAAACAAAAAAAAATGGAAATTAAAATAAGAGGTTCAGACTGAATGTAAGAAAACCTTTTCCATCTCAAAGTGCAAGTTTCCCCAAAAAAACCTTAAAAATGCACAAAACCCAGCTGGATAAAGCCCCAAACAGCCTCATTTAATCTCACAGCTCTACATTAAACACCAAACTCCACTACAAACCTTCCACCCCCCTGTGCCTGTCCCCTCTGTGTTGATCTGGAGATGCCAGGTGAGGACCTGGCACCTCATTTGGGGAGCAGAGGGCGTTTGCCTGGGCATCAGAGCAGAGCTGTGGCTTGAGGTCCTCCCCCAGAGCTGGAGGAGGTTGGTTTGGAGCGATCCTGGTGCTCTGCCAGGAATTATTCACCCAGATCCCGTCCTGCCTCGAGAGGAACTCTCTCATGGTGATCAAAGCCGAGACTCGGCCTCCCACTGCTCTCTAGCTCGGGGCCAGTTTCAGCAGGAGCTCTCTGGGCCAGCTCGGGGCTTGTGGTGGCTTCCAGGTGCTCCTTCATCTCCCACAGCATCAGGGTTTCTCCTCTCCCTCCCGCTGGGCTGCTGGAAGCACCTGGAGACTCCGAGTTCTGCTCCAGCCCTGCCTGCCTTGGCTTGTCCTGGCTGATTCCTGGCGTGGGACACGTCCCTGCTGCCACCTCCTGCATCCTCCTCTTCCTCAGCCTGGGCTGGAAGGACTCAGCCATCTCATCTTCCTCTTCCTCAGCCTGGGCTGGAAGGACTCAGCCAGCTCATCTTCCTCTTCCTCAACCTGGGCTGGAAGAGCTCAGCCATCTCATCTTCCTCTTCCTCAACCTGGGCTGGAAGAGCTCAGCCATCTCATCTTCCTCAGCCTGGGCTGGAAGGGCTCAGCCACCTCCTGCATCTTCCTCTTCCTCAGCCTGGGCTGGAAGGGCTCAGCCATCTCATCTTCCTCTTCCTCAGCCTGGAATGGAGCTGGAAGGGCTCAGCCCTCACCTCCTCCTCTTCCTCAGCCTGGGCTGGGGCTGGAAGGTCTCAGCCATCTCCTCCTCCTGCATCTTCCTCTTCCCCTATTCTGGAGTGGGGCTGGAAGGTCTCCTGCTGCATCCTCCTCTTCCTCAGCCTGGGTTAGGGCTGGAAGGGCTCAGCCCTCCCCTCCTGCAGCATCCTCCTCTTCCTCCAGCCTGGTCGGGGCTGGAAGGTCTCAGTCACCTCTTCCTGCTGCATCCTCCTCTTCCTCAGCCTGGGTTAGGGCTGGAAGGGCTCAGCCCTCCCCTCCAACCTCCTCGGGCAGGGTGGGGGTGGCACTGTCACCCCTCATCTCCTGCAAGGGACACCTGGAACCGTCTCCCTCCTTCAGAAGGTTCAGAAATTTCAGAAATTTCAGAAATTTCAGAAGGTTCACAAGGTTCTTCCTCCTTCAGGGATCTCTGGGAGGGGTTGGCCTTGCCCCAGGGACAGGGATCCATGGAAGTGTCTCCAGCAGGGACAGGGATCCATGGCTGTGTCTCCAGGAGGGACAGGGATCCATGGAAGTGTCTCCAGGAGGGACAGGGGTCTATGGAAGTGTCTCCAGGAGGGACAGGGGTCCATGGCTGTGTCTCCAGGAGGGACATTTGGGGATGGACACACTGCTGGGATGAGCCCCCGGTGTAGGGGGTCTGGGGGGTGCAAAGGGCAGCTGGGCTGATTTGAAAGAACGTTCTGGATGGGAGAGCTTGGAGGCTCTTCCAGGGGGCTCCAGGAGAGGGGCTTGGAGCGAGGGGTGGAGGACAGGACACAGGGAATGGCTTCACAGGGAAAGAGGGAAGGTTTAGCTTGGATTTTGGGAAGGAATTCCTCCCTGTGTCCCTATCCCCTTGTGTCCCTATCCCTGTCCTGTTCCTCTGTCCCTGTGTCCCTGTCCCCCTATCCCTGTATCTCTGTTCCTGTCTCCCTGTCCCTGTGTCCCTCTGTCCTGTCCCTGTGTCCCTGTCCTTCTGTCCCTGTCCCTCTGTCCCTAGCCCTATCCCTGTGTCCCTGTCCCTATCCCTGTGTCCCCGTCCCTCCGTCCCTATCCCTGTCCCCGTGTCCCTGTCCCTCTGTCCCTGTCCTATCCCCCTGTTGTGTCCCTTTGTCCCTGTCCCCCTGTCCTGTCCCTGTCCCTCTGTCCCCGTGTCCCTATCCCTGTCCCTGTGTCCCTGTCCTTCTGTCCCTGTCCCTCTGTCCCTCTGTCCCTGTCCCCCTGTCCCTATCCCTGTCCTATTCCCCTGTCCTGTCCCTTTCCCTCTGTCCCCGTGTCCCTATCCCTGTCCCCCTGTCCCCCTGTCCTGTTCCTGTCCCTCTGTCCCTGTCCCGTTCCTGTCCCTCCGTCCCCATCTGTCCCTGTCACTCTGTCCCTCTGTCCCTGTCCCCCTGTCCCTATCCCTGTCCTATCCCCCTGTCCGCCTGTCCTGTCTCTTTCCCTCTGTCCCCGTGTCCCTGTCCCCGTGTCCCTGTCCCCATGTCCCTCTGTCCCCGTGTCCCTATCCCTGTCCCCCTGTCCCCCTGTCCTGTTCCTGTCCCTCTGTCCCCATCTGTCCCTGTCCCTCTGTCCCTCTCCCCCTCTGTCCCTGTCCCCCTGTCCCTATCCCTGTCCTATTCCCCTGTCCTGTCCCTTTCCCTCTGTCCCCGTGTCCCTATCCCTGTCCCCGTGTCCCTGTCCCTCTGTCCTATCCCCCTGTCCCCCTCTGTCCCCGTCCCCCCCAGGTCACCCCGATCCTCCCCCGGTAACCGCCCCCCCCGCCGCCTCCCCCGCGGGCTGTGACGTCACCGCGCTGAGCTCAGCCTCTATTACCATACCGCCAATTTGCATTCCCTCATTTGCATGCGGCGCGGCCAATGGAACGCCGCGGCCGCGCCGTGACGTCACTCCCGAGCCGCTCTATATAAGCGCCGCGCGCAGCCGCCGCCGCAGACCGAACGCCGCGGAGCCGCCGAGAGGTCGCGGGTGTCGCCGCGTCCCCGCCGGGATGAGCCACCGCCACAGCCAGCGCCGCGGCCCCCGGGCCGACATGGTGCCCGAGATCGCCGCCGCCGTGGGCTTCGTGTCCGGCCTGCTGCGGACGCGGGGTTGCGTCAGCGAGCAGCAGCTGCAGGTGTTCAGCGGGGCGCTGCGGGAGGCGCTCACAGGTGAGCTCCGGGCAGGAGCCCGCTCCAGGCAGGGCTGGGCTCTTCTGGTGGCCCTCGGGGACAGGCGCCCACTGGAGTGCGCCCCCCCATCCCCCCGTGTACCTTCCAGGACCTGGCGTCCCTTTGAGTGCCCTCCATGGTGATGCGAGGACCTGGTGTCCTTTTGAGTGCCACTCTGTGCTTCTACCAGGACCTGCTGTCCTTTTGAGTGCCACTCCGTGCTCCTTCCAGGACCTGGTGTCCTTTTGAGTGCCACTCTGTGCTCCTTCCAGGACCTGCTGTCCCTCCCGAGTGCCCCCCGTTGTTGTGCCGAGGACCTGCTGTCCCTGCTGTCCTGGTTCCGGGACGTGCTGTCCCCTCCCGAGTGGCCCCCCCGTCCCTTCCAGGACCTGCTGTCCCTCCCGGGCTGCCTCCTGTGTCGCTCCCGGGACGTGCTGTCCCCTTCCCGAGTGCCCCCCGTGTCCCTTCTGCCACCTGCTGTCCCCTCGGGGGTCCCCTCCGTGCCGGTGCCGGCTGTCCCCTCGGGGCTGTCCCGTTCCATTCCCGGTGCCGCCTGTCCCTTTGTGTGCCCAGCCGTCCCCCCCCGCTGTCCCGGCGGGTGCAGCCGCCCCCTCTCGGGGGGGCTGTGCAGACCCCAGAGCTGTGCCGGGTGTCCCCCGAAGCCTCTGCTGTGCCCGGGGGTCCCCCTTGCCCGGGGATGCCTTCCCGATGTCCCCCGAGCCCGGGGGTGTCCCTTCCCGGGGGTCCCTTCCCGGTGTCCCCGTGCTGTGCCCGGTGTCCCCTTTCCCAGGGGGTCCCCTTCCCGGTGTCCCCTTTCCCGGTGTCCCCCGGCCCGGCGCCGTTATCAGCCGCAGGGAGGGGTGGCCGGGCTGTGATAAGGGGGATCAGGGTGCTGAGCTGGCTGCGCCGTGCCATCGCAGACCTTTGGGGTGCCCTATCTGCCCCCGCCACCCCACGGCGCCTGGCATGGTCCCGCTGGGTTTTTCGGGGTGCAGGAGCCACCTTTGGGGTGGGCTGGTGGCACTTCCCTCTGTCCTGTCCCCCTGGGCAGAGGGGTTTGGGTCCTGTCTCTGGTGCCGAGCTTTGGGCACGGTTTAATTCCTGCTCTGCCCGGTTCCTTCCGTGCTCCCAGCGCTCGGGGAGGCTCTGCAGGGCTGTTTGTTGGGATTTGGTGTTTAAACACCGAATTTGGTGGCAGCTAAAGGCCCTAAACCCCACCTGCCTGCGGGGAAGGAGCACTACAAACTCCTCTGAGAAACCCTTCAAAGGCTGTTCGTTAGGATTTCACCTTTAAACCCCAAATTCAGTGGGAACTAAAGGCCCTAAACCCCACCTGCCTGTGGGGAAGGAGCACTACAGACACCTCTGCTTCCCTGAGAAACCCTTCAAAGACATTTTTGTAGGATTTGGCCTTTAAACCCCAAATTTATTGGGAGCTAAACCCCACCTGCCTGCTGGGAAGGAGCACTACAGACACCACTGCTTCCCTGAGAAACCGAACCCTTCCAAGAGTTTTCTTTAGGATTTGGCCTTTAAACCCCAAATTTAGTGGGAGCTAAAGGCCCTAAACCCCACCTGCCTGTGGGATATCCCTGCTCACAGCTCTTCTTCTTTCCCAGAGCAATACAAACCCTTTAAAGGATTTTCTTTAGGATTTCACCTTTAAACCCCAAATTCAGTGGCACCTAAACCCCCCCTACCTGTGGGATATCCTTTCTCAGTGCTGTTTTCCCTCCCCAGCACACTACAAACACCTCAGAGAAACCCTTCAAAGGCTGTTCTTTAGGATTTTGCCTTTGAACCCCAAATTTAGTGGCAGCTAAAGGCCCTAAGCCCCTTTCTCACAGCTCTTTTCCCGCCCCAGAGCACTACAGACACCACTGAGAAAAAAGGGTTTTCTTTAGGATTTGGCCTCTAAACACTGAATTTCCTGGCAGCTAAAGGCCCTCACTGCTGTTTTTCCCTCCCCAGAGCACTACAGACACCCCTGGTTCCTCCAAAGGGATTTTCTTTAGGATTTCACCTTTAACCCCCAAATTTACTGGCAGCTAAAGGCCCCAAACCCCACCTACCTATGGGATATTCTTTTCTCACAGCTCTTTTTCCCACCCCAGAGCACTACAGACACTCCTGGTTCCCTGATACATCCGCCAAAGGGGTTTTCTTTAGGATTTCACCTTTAAACACTGAATTTAGTGGCACCTAAAGGCCCCAAACCCCTTTCTCATTGCCGTTTTTCCCTCCCCAGAGCACTACAGACACCACTGGTTCCTCCAGAGGGATTTTCTTTAGGATTTCACCTTTAACCCCCAAATTTACTGGCAGCTAAAAGCCCCAGACCCCACTTACCTGTGGGATATTCTTTTCTCACAGCTCTTTTTCCCTCCCCAGAGCACTACAGACACCACTGGTTCCCAGAGAAACCCTCCAAAGGCTCCGGCTACCGCTGCATCCGCATCAACCAGCGCATGGACCCGCTGATCAGCCGTGCCGGGGGGCACGTGGGGCTGGGGCTGCCCCAGCTGTTCCAGCTGCTGCCCCGCGAGCTCACGCTCTGGGTGGATCCCTTCGAGGTGTGCTACCGCATCGGCGAGGACGGCTCCATCTGCGTCCTCTACCAGGCCAGCAGAGCCCCCAGCTCCTGCGGAGGGATGCTCACCTGCAAGAACCAGATGATGCTGGGCCGTAGCAGCCCTTCCAAAAACTACATCATGACTGTTTCCAGTTAAAAAAAAAAAAAACAAACAAACGAAAAAAAACAACAAACCCCGAAAAAAAAAAAAAATAATCTCCTCCTTGTCCTTACACTGCCAAGACACAGGCTACTGTAATACCTCAAGCTGAGGATCTATTTTTAAGATGAAGAGCTATTTATATTTTTTAAAAAAAAACCAAAAACCTCCAGAAAATCCAAAATTAAAATGTTGGGCGCCGCTCCGAGCTGAGGCGACGCCCCAGGTGCCTTTTCTAAAGCTGTTGCAAGCTTGTGAGTTTCTCTTTTTTTTTTTAATTATTGTGAAGCTGAGATCTACCTAATTTCGTGTTGGATGACGATTTTGGGGCTGGCTTTGCTCACCTTGGAATGGGGGATGAGGGGGTGAAGCCAGTCTGGGCAGCGTGGCTGTGATGTCACCTTGTCACCACCCCGCTGTCACCTTGCTGCTGCATCTCCAGGTGTTGTGGTGCTGCTCTCTGGATTTGCTGTCACCTCGGGGCTTGGGTGACCTTGGGGACATTGGGATCACCCTCCTGGACGTGCTGCAGCTCTGGCCTGCCCTCTCCCAGCCCCTGGAAGGGCTCACCTGGCACGTGGAGCACCTGGCAGTGTCCCCATGGTGACCCTGGTGGCGCTGAGGGGACATTCCTGCTGTCACCACCCTGGACCTGCTGGGAGTTCCAAAGCTTTTCTGCTCCCAGGGGCTCAGCCCAGCCCTGGTGTCCCCTCCGTGTCCCCATCCTCCTCTTCGTGTCCCTTCCGTCCTTGTCCTGCGGAGGTTGGGGTGTGGCACCCCCTTTTTGCTGCCTTTTCTCCTCAAATCTGGACTTTCTGGGGCTTGTTCAGGTGTTTTTGGGGTCCTGATGTTGCTTTTTAAAGCCACAGCACTTCCCTGCCCCCCCCCTTGGGAAAGGGATTTGGGTCCCATCTCTGGTACAAAACTTTCTGCAGGATTTTAAATTCCTGCTCTCTGCCCGTTTTGTGTCCAGGGGGGCTCTGCCCAGGTGCTTTTTGGGATTTGGGCTTTAAACCCCAAACTCAGTGGCAGCTAAAGGCCCTAAACCCCCCCTGATGCTGGGAAGGAGCGTTACAAACACCACTAAAAACCCTTAAAAAATTCTCTTTAGGATTTCACCTTTAAACCCCGAATTTATTGGCAGCTCACTGCCCTAAACCCCCTTTTCCTGGGCTCTCCCACATCCACTCCCTTTTTCCCACCCCCTAGAGCTCCCCCCAGGCAGAAAAATTTGCCCTTTTTGCAGCAAAACTTCCCAGATTTTCCTCTGAGCTGCACCTTCCCCTTTTCCTGACGTGGCAAACCCAGAGCTGTTCTCACCCAGCCCGTGGTGACTCAAGTTCTCAGATATTTGTGCAATATTTTCCCAAATCCTGGCTGCTCTGGGAGAGGAAGGAAACTCCCAGCTGGTTCTTGAACACGTTAAATTATCCAGCCCTGCCTTCTAAAATTCAGATTTTATTTTGAAAATCATCAAGAACTGGAAAATCAGCCTCGATTCTCAAATATTTATATTTTTTTTGGTTTGGAAATGTCAGGTTGTTTGTGCCTGAGGAGATCAGAGCAGTCTGGAGTTGCATCACTTCCCTCTTCCCTGAATTTCTCACGTCAGCACAGCAGGAAGGAAGCACCGGGGGGGATTTTCACTTGTGCAATACGTGACCTCACCCACATCCAAAAACAAAAAAAAAAGAAAAATAAGCAAATTTTATTCCAGGAAAAGAAATCCCACTGCTTTTTTTTTTTTTTTTTTGGGCATTCCTCACTTTGAGCTGCCTCCAGGAGGAAAATCAAAATAATCAAAATTTGATTTCTTCCCTCCCTCTCCCCAGAGTTTCCCAAGAATTTCCCACCAAAACATCCTCATCTCCAAGGTGATTTTTTTTTTAAAAAAAAATAAGCTTCAAAACCAACCAAATTTGGGTAGAATCCACTTCTCTCTGGTAGCTGGTGACACAAAAAGCTGTGAATTCCTGAGCTCTCGTTGCCTTTCGCCTCCAAGCCTGATGTGGATTTTGAACTGTTACTGTCGGGGGTTGCTGTCAATATTAATATTATTATTTTTATTTTTTATTTTTAACTGAGCTGGACTGTTGAACGGGACCTGCTTCTTGTTTTTTGGGTTATTTTGTTGGTTTTTTTTTTTTTTTGGTGAGGTTTTGGGGTTTTTTTTGTTTTGTTTTTTTTTAAAATTTTTTGTTGCTAGGGTTTTTTATTTTTTCTTTGGGTTTTCCTGGGGGGTTCTGGGGTTTTTCTTTTTGTGGTTCTTTGGGGTTTTTTTTTGTTTTGTTTTTTGTTTTGGGGTATTTTTTAGTTTTGGGTTTTTTTCTTTTGTTTTGGGGTTTTTTTCGCTAGGGTTTTTTATTTTTTGTTTTGATTTTTTTGGGGGGTTGTTTTGGGGTTTTCGTTGTTTGGGGCGGTTTTCTTGTTGGGTTATTTTGGGGGTTCTTTGGGGATTTTTTTGTTTTGTTTTTTGTTTTGGGGTATTTTTTAGTTTTGGGTTTTTTCTTTTGTTTTGGGGGTTTTTTCCCCTAGGGTTTTTTATTTTTTGTTTTGGTTTTTTTGGGGGGTTGTTTTGGGGTTTTCGTTGTTTTCTTGTTGGGTTATTTTGGGGGTTTTTGGGAATTTTTTTTTCTTTTGTTTTTTTTTGGGTGGGGTATTTTTTTTTCTTTTTTTTTTTTTTGTGTTTTTCCTTTTTTTCTTTCTGCTGAAAACGCTCAGACCCGCGTGAGGAGCCGCAGGAGGGATCAGCCTCTTCCTGAATTACAGAACATTTTCCACCCCGAGTGTACAGCCCCCATCCCCGGTGCTTTTTTTATTACTTTAATAAAAACGCAGCGTTCCAGCCACGCCTGCCTCGTTCCTGGGGGAGGTTCGGGATTTGGGATTTCCTGGGAATGCCGTGGGGATGAATTTCCTGCCTCACCCAGGACAAAGAGCTGCTTGCTCCAGGTGTGACTCCCAGCCCGGGAATTCAGGCTGGGAATGACTCAGGGAGGCGCTGGGGGTGGAAATCTCCTGTCCTGCCAGGTGGAGGTGGGGCAAAAAAAAATAAATTAGATATTTTTATATTTTTTTATATTTAAAAAATTTAAAAAATTAATATAATTTAAATATATATTATATATCTATTTATTTACTTTGATATATTTATTTATTTTGATATATTTTCATATCAATTTTTATAAATCCTATACATAATATATTTACACATAAAAATATATTTTTATACTTTTTATATTTTAATACACATTTATATAAATTTTGTACATAATATATTTACATATAAAAATATTTATCTTTATAAAGATAATTTAAATATAAATTTATTATTTATTATTATTTATTAATCTATATATGTATATAAATATATTCATAAAGATAAATTTATAAAGGTAAATTTCTTATTTATATAAAGATAAATTTATTATTTATTATTATTTATTAATCTATATATGTACATAGATAAATATATTTATAGAGATAAATTTATTTCTAAAGGTAAATTTCTTATTTATAGAAAGATAAATTTATTATTTATTATTATATAATCTTTATTATTTTTTATATTATCTATAAGGGCCTTGCCTCAATCAGCTTGTGCCTATTTTGACCCCAAAACTCCAAATTTATGGAATTTAGGAGGGTTTGATTCCCTTCCAGACTCTCTGTGACCATTGCCTCTGACACCAGACCTCCTCTGACAGCCCTGGCCTTGTTTTATTTTGACCCAAAACTCCTTTTTCATGGAATTTAGGAGGGTTTAGGGAATTTAGGGCTCTTCCAGGCCATAATTTAGGGAATTTTAGGGAATTCAGGGCCCTGATGCCTCTTGGGGGGCACTGAGCTGCCCCTCCCCTCCTCCCCAAACACTTTTTGGGTGGATTTGGATGAATTTGGGTGGAGTTGGCTGGATTTGGGTGGATTTGGGTGAATTTGGGTAGATTTGTCAGGATTTGGGTGAATTTGTCAGGATTTGGGTAGATTTGTCAGGATTTGGGTGAATTTGTCAGGATTTGGGTGAATTTGTCAGGATTTGGGTGAATTTGGCAGGATTTGGGTGAATTTGGGTAGATTTGTCAGGATTTGTCAGGATTTGGGTGGATTTGGCTGGTTTATTTGGGTGAATTTGGCGGGATTTGGGTGAATTTGGGTAGATTTGTCAGGATTTGTCAGGATTTGGGTGGATTTGGCTGGGTTTATTTGGCTGAATTTGGGTGAGTTTGGCGGGATTTGGGTGAATTTGTCAGGATTTGGGTGAAGTGTCAGGATTTAGGTGAATTTGGCTGCATTTGGGTGAATTTGTCAGGATTGGGGTGAATTTGTCAGGATTTGGGTGCTGCCTCGGGTCTCTCCTAATTTTTTGAGCTCAGCCCCTCATTAATTCCCACAAACACCCGAACTGTGACAGCTGGGGCGGGGCTGGGGCCGATCCCTGCGGTGTCACCCGCGTTGTCACCCGCGTTGTCACCCGCGTTGTCACCCGCGCTGTCACCCGCGCTGTCACTGTCACCCGCACTGTCACTGTCGCTGTCACCGTCGCTGTCACCGTCGCTGTCACCGTCACTGTCACCGGCACTGTCACCGGCACTGTCACCCGCGCTGTCACTGGCACTGTCACCCACACTGTCACCCGTGCTGTCACTGTCACCCGCACTGTCACCGTCACTGTCACCCGCACTGTCACCCGCGCTGTCACCCGCTTGGCCTGCCCTGATTGAAGCCAATTTATTTTTTTTTTTTAAATCTCCAAGTATTTTCGGGTGGCGGCGCTTTTGCCTCCTCCTACAAAGTTTTTCCCACTCTCTAAATAAAATATGTGAACACTTGAAGATCTAAACACTTGGTTGTTCGACAAAATCTGAGTTGATTTTCTTGTTAGAATGGACTATTATATATGTGTATATATATATATA